ATAAAAGAAGGTGATAGAGAAAAACGGAGACAGTGGTTGGTAAGACGGAGACGGTGGTGGTCAAAGACATGGACGACGGTTGTAAACAGTGAATTATGACAGATTTTTGAAGGTTAAAAAAAAATGATATTTTTCAAACATTTTTTCAGTTAAATGGGATTTTTGGCAAAAATCCGAAAAAAAGAAGTATACGATACAAAAGGTGAACAAATAAAAACCTTATGGTTGACTATAAAAATAATAATAAAAAATATATATATTTCTTTTACTATATCATATGCTTCAGAAAACTATATTATATATCATCCCTCACTACAACACTTAGAACTTCACCACCATACAAATAGCAACAGGTATCAGAGCTCGTCATGACCAGTCTCGGCTTCCTCTGACTCGTGACTGTGGTCCAAGCCCTTGTCATCGTGCGAGTACAGACAGTCCGCAGACGGATGAATCACTCCGTACCCAAAACCTTCGGCTGAGTTACAGTAAGCTTCGACTTGGCCATCTTTGCCTTCAAGATTCACATTGTTGAGAACAATGTGGCTGCAAGGGACTGTGTCGCTGCACGCAAATTTGATGGCTTTTTCACTTTTTGTTGTTCCGGTTATGTTCCGGTACATTATCTGGCTGATTTTAACCGCTGAGGTCTGCATTATACCGAGAAAGAAAGAACATATCTGAGTTACTTTTCATCTTCTTCCAGTTTTGCTTTGACACAATAATCACGAGGGTATATTCTGTTGTGAACAAACCTGGTTTTGACAGGAAGTTGGATTATCACAGTAGAATTGATCAATGATTATCGGGTTAGAGACATCTTGCATCTCTACGTTTGTGAATCGAATACCTTGGACGTAACCAGAACCTCCCTGTTCCAAGCCCACAATGAAAATAAGATTGATGCGGATTGATCTTAATAGAAGTTTATAAGAGTAAAGATTGAAGCTTTTTTCTTTATTACCTGATATGTTTTGATTCGAAGTCCATTACTTGTCTCTCTCAACATCGCAGTGTCCAACACAACATTTGTTACAATTCCTGTTGAGTTATTATTCCCAAGGCTTCCAATGCTGCGAGAAATTCCAGCGAATTATAATTTGATTTGAAACAGATGTTTTCTAGAAATTTGATGATGTACCTGATTCCATGTCCAGGTCCACAATAGATGTTCTTCATCTTTACATTCGAGCTTGCATTCACAATCGAGACACAATCATCCCCTGTTTAATCCAATCGTAAGAGATTATTACATTCGTAGTTAGAGTTTAAACGTGTCAATTGCGTAAAGATTTTGGTTTTAATAAAAAAACCTGTGCCGATTTTACAGTCTTGAAGGACAACATTGGTCGATCCAGTGATATGGATTCCATCAGTGTTGGGACTATCTCCTGGAGAAGAGACCATAACTTTGGAGACTCGAACTGAGTTTGACCTTGCAATGATGAAATTCATCTGCTGGCTGTTCTGGATCGTCAAGCCGCTTACTTTCACACCTGAACTAGACTCTATAGTTAGTGCCTGCAGGGGAAAAAAACAGATTGTTGAATTAAACTTAATACGAAGCCATTTGTAAGGGAAAACTGGTGAATGATGAAGGCAATGGTTTCTTACTGTTGGTGCACTTTTGCAAGGCTGCATGAAAGCAAGAAAGATGTGTAAGATTCTGATAGAAAACTCGAGATGTTTACTTTTTTTTAGTTAAAGAAAGCAAATTTTGGGTATAGAAGATTTTACGTTAGACTTGTTCTTCTTGCAAGAAGCAGCCCACCATTTGCTACCAGACCCATCTATAACTCCATTCCCTTGGAATACCACCCCTTTGAGTTTCGAAAACTCGAGCCAAACTCTTTGGAACTTTAGGTCCCAATTGCTCGGCTCATCTGGTGCCACTATTGTTCCGTCGATCTATAAGAAAAAACAAGTTTCGTATTAGGCATACCATAGATCGTTGTGTAAATAGAATAATGGTCTAGTTTCTGTTTTTCTGCTGAAGATAACAAAGATTCAGGACTTGAAATGTCAAACTTGACCTGAATGATCAACTTTTGTTCACATGGACCGTTGAACTTTGTTGCATTTACTAAATAACTCCGACCTTGTGGAACCAGTAACACGGATTTTGGTGTGGAGCACGCTTTGTTCCATGCGCTTATGAATGCCTGATTAGAGAAGAGCATTACACAGATTAGTTGCGCAAAAATATCGAATTAAGCACTGCAAAAGTCTACAATGAACACAGTTTGTTTATAATTTTCTCCATGATCTCAAGTTTGGGGAAATGTTTATTCCAGACATAGAACTGATAGCGTTTTGGGTATCTAGAGAACGTGCCATATTCATGGAATAAGAAAAATGGACTCAAACGCACCTGAGTATCATCAGAAACTCCATCTCCAGCTGCACCAAATGTATCCACATTCACCAGGTTCTTACCAGAACTTCGGCTTGTGAATGACGGCAAATCATAGAGCTCTGTATCATCGTCATCTTCCGGTATGTCAAAGTTCCCAAGCTCCTCAAGGATGTCGAGATCGGTGTACACCATTTTCCCTGCAGCTCCATAAGCAGTTATCATTACCAGACCAAGAAGGCAAAGAATACAGAGCTTATCCATCATATGCCTCAATCAAAACGCCTAGAGAAGATTCCGATTTGATTATATCCAGTGTCCACCAATGAGATTTCTTTGCAGAGATTATTGGTTTTGGGTTGAATTTATATGCATACTAATTAATGGGGTTTGTGGGGTTTATTGGCTTGGCTTTAAAGTACATGAAGAGAAGGCCTTGTTTTTCAACATATCTACGCTTAAAGCACAAGTCATATGCTTTTACACTTCTTTGCTTTACTCCAAAACCTCTACACAAAACCTTACTAGTCAACTTGTTCTTGATGAATGTTGGTCCCATGAGATCTGAAATAAAAACAAAACGAGAAAGAAGACCCTGAAAATCTCTCAACCTTTTTACTTCAAGATGCCATTTTAAGATTTTTAGACATGACGTGGTTCTCAGTCACGAAGAACAGACATTATGTAGTATATCAAAATAGAAGAGGTCAATGAGTTTGTTGCACCAACCCGGCAAATAAAGAATCTTATCCTGTTGTGTTGTCCTTGTAGAGTGTCAACCATGTGTGATGGCTTCAAGTGAAAGAACTCATTTCAGATACGTAGAAAAAATGTGTGAACTTTGCAATTGAGGGTTCACTCTTCTTTTCCATGCAGCTGAAGCAAAACACTGTCCTGCTTTTTTTGCGTTATCAGTTTTTCACAACGACTGAACTGTAACCGATCTCCCTCATGAGCTCTTTTGAAGCAGCAATCTCTCTGATTCGCCTGGACATTTCAAAGTCACCGATCTCAAAGTAAAATTTCGAAACTTGAATGTAAACAGCAAAATTCTGAGGTTCAAGATCCATCAAAACTTCCGCTGCCCTTCTTCCTATTGCTTTGTTTCCATGAATCCTGCAGCTCTGCAGTAACGAGCTCCACGCGATGCAGTCGGCATCTCCATGTGCCTGAAGAAGCAGCCTTTCGGCTTTTTCCACCAAACCAGCACGCCCTAACAAATCGACCATGCACGCATAGAGTTTCCTTCCTGGGGACATTCCGTATTTTGATTCTAATGAGTCGAAAATCAGCTCGCCTTCTTCAACAAGCCCAGAATGACTGCAACCTGATAGTACAGACAAGATTGTAACTTCGTCTGGTATGAGATTCTTCTGATCCATTTCTCTAAGCATCTCAACACAGTCTTTTCCCATGCCATTTCTAGCATAGCCATTGATGATCGAAGTCCAGCAGAAGATGTTGGGTGAATCAAGCTCATCAAACACCTTTCGAGATACATCATTCTGGCCGCTCTTTGAATATGCGTCAATTAGGGAGCATGAGACTGCAACATCAGATGCATAACCGGATTTGATGGCACAGCAATGTACAAGCGTGCAGCTAGGTGAACTTGCTGGTACAGAAAGTGATAAAGCCTTGAGGACAGTAGAAAGAGTAACTTCGTCGATTCCAGCTCCTTCATCAATCATCAAACCAAACATCTCGATGATATCTTTAGTGATACCACAGTGCATCAGAGAAGTCATCAGCGAATTACAGCACTCCAGAGTCGGGTAAGGCACACTCTTGTAAACCGACACAGAACTCTCAATCTCATTGCATTTTCCGTACATGTCAATTAGAGCAGACTGGACATGAAGACTCGAAACATCGAAACCCATCTTAAGGACACAGCAATGGATCTGCTTCCCAAACTGAATATCGCTGTTACTGCTACATAAATTGAGAAACGACATGAATGACCGTATTGAAGGTCTCTTCCCCCAAAACTGCATCTTTCTAAACAAATCAAGAGAATCAAGCACAGACCCGTAATCTGCACACACAGAAACAATTGAGTTCCACGATATTACATCCTTTTCAGGGACAGCATTGAATGATCTCCTCGAACCAGATAAATCGCCGCAAGCAGAGTACAAGTCCACAAGCGCATTAGCCACAAAAATATTAGAAATGTTCCATCCAGATTTAATCACTAGGGAATGCAACTGCTTCCCTTCACATAACAACCGATTATTAGAGCAACCACGGATCATATAACAATAAGTCAACCCATTTTCAGTAACACCTTCAAGTTCCATCCTCTGGTACACTCCAAACAACCTATTGGAATCTCCAGTCTCACAAAAACATCGCAACAGCAAATTGCAAACAGCTAAATTTCTCTCAGGCATTTCATCAAACAACTTCAAAGCAACATCAAGAAACCGCGAAGACGCATAGAGACCAACAAGTGCAGACCTGACGAAAACATTACATCCAAACCCAAGCAAAACCACCCTGCAGTGAACTTGAGTTCCTTCTCTACAGAACCATTCATCGCCACATACACTCAGAACGGAAGGAAAAGTGGAAGCGCTCTCTCTAAGACCATGAGAGACCATCTCCGCGTAGAGCTCGATAGCTCTTACAGAACACCCATTTCGACTATGACCAGAAATAAGAAGATTATAAGTGACAACATCTCGTACGGACATTCCATCGAACACTTCGTGTGCAGACATCAAGTTCCCGGATTTAATCAACTCATCAATCTTACGGTTATGGGTATAAACAAGATCGTTAGGGTTTTCTTGAAGAAACGAACCAAACTCCAAACGAGTCCCCGCCGTAAGTGGTGCAGGACACAAATGTTGACCTAACGTCACTGTTCTGCGAATAAACTGTAAAGCTTGAGCTCCTCGCATGTCTCCAACAACAATGTATATCTCACAGACACAATTCGCATTTGATTCAATATAAAAGACTAAAACTGTCTCTCTCCTTGCTCAACAAGTATTAGTACTTTTTTTTCTTTTCTTTTTTATGCAAATATTACCCTTTTTTTTTTTCCTTTTTCTTATTGAATATGAGAAATTTAAAGAACTGGGCAAGGCAAAAAGCAAGAAACATTCACAGAAAAACAACATAAAAATCCAACATTTGACAAATTGAATAAGAGATTTGTTTTATTACAGAGACGATCACAAAGCTTCTTTCTTTCTTAATCGTCTTTTACTAAACAGACCCAGAGAGCTTCAGGGCCAAAAGCAATCGTCTTTTATGATCACAAGCTACAATCATCCCCCAAACCTCCCCAACAAAAGAAGACAATGCTTCGTAGAAGACAAAAGGGATATACATCATAGATACTTACAAGCTTTGGCTTTGTAGATAAACGCTAGCAAGTAGCTGCAATTGCTTCCAAGAGAGAGACCACGAATTGCATCTGAGTGTCTTCGTTGATTTTGGAGAACAGAGGAACGTGCACAAACAGTGACTTGTGTCCCTTTTGCTCTGCAAACCTGAGAGAGTGATAGTAAACGTAGTTGCACACAAATCGTCCAGCGTCGTCTGATTGAACCACGTCGAAGCCTCGCTGCTTCAATAACTTGAATATCGATTCAGTCGAGCATGAAGTCTTCACGCAACACCACCAAGAAAAAACTCAAATCCTACTTAGAATGTCTTGCAAGATAAAAAAGAAAAAGAAATCGTGAGTTTTGCAGTAAAGTGTATGTGTATATATGTACCTCTTTTGCCTTTGAAATGCTCCCATCTTCGACAACTATAGGAAGCCGCTGTGAAAGGAAATGTTAAAAGGGTCTCAATTAACGTCTTCTCGAATTGAAGCTATTTCTTAATCATGGAAAGTGAATGGTTTTACCTGTGGTTGCCAGCCCAATTCATCAGGACAACGGAAATGAGCTTCGTTCACTGCTTGTCTTTCAATGGCAAATTTTGTCGCTCCGCTATTCACCCCAAGATGAAGCTAAAGAAGCACCGGAATCGATAGAAACGCATGTTATTCAGATCGTTAAATCATCGGAAGGACCACTCAAATTACAAGAAGAAAACAAGTTTTTTATTTGATTTCAAAGTTCATAACTTCTTCAAATATCTATACTTTGTAAGACCTCAACAAACTTTAGCTCCAAAACACAACAAGTGAGAAGCAGAACAACCATGTAAAGATACAAGGACGCGTTTAACCAAATCATATGTAACAAACAATCAAGAACCAGTAATAGAGTCAATACTTGGCCTCATGGTTTCTCTTTATTATATAGAGTAGAGATAACTCCGAAACAAACACAGTGACAGACTCATTACTCAAAATGGAAGAGGAAAGCACAGCATAATCACACTTCATCGACGGTCTAAGTCCAAAATTTATTTATAGAAAGAATACGAAAGTGGTGACCTCAAGGATCAGTTTTAAAGTGGAGAAAAAGAAACTAGACTGGAAACATAAGAGTACAAAAAAAGTTCACAAAGAATGAATCAATGAATAAGAAATTAGTAAGAATTCTCTCACCCAAACAACAGTTCCATTGTTGTTCTTATCTCCAGCGACAGCAACACTGGACTCCAAAACCTGGTAAAGCTTAGACCTTGCACCATCCCCTGCAGTCTCAAGAACAGTGCAGCTACCAAGAGTCAATCCAGAAGGCAAGCCTCGTTTCTCGACGTAAGATTTGAGATTATTGGCTATTTTCTCAGTAGGATTTTCAGAAACCCCAAGAAATTTCTTGAAACCAGTCACATGAATGGTAATTGCTTTTGGTCCTTCAGAACCCATCTCCAACCAACAACCTTCATAGTGAAACATATACACGCACAAAAAAAAAAAAATGAATTCTCGAAACAGGACAATAATACAAAATCGAAGATAACGATAAGCAAAACTAAATCAGCCCATCAAAATTCTCGATTGATCGTGAGGAAAAGAGTTGACCCATGATTAAAGATAGGATTTTTTTTACCTCTCAAAACTCCGATTGAAAAGAATCAAAACCCAGAAAGAAAAATCGGAAATTGAGCCTGAAAAACTCGAGCTTAAAAGCTGTGCGATATTGACTTTTGGATTGTGGGAAGAGGTAAACAAATTGGGTTTTGGTTTCTTGTTGTGGCGAGTAATCAAGAGTTTTTTCGCGGTGGAATTATTAAAAAGCAACGCATCATCAGTGGACGAAATTGCCACTAGGGTCGGGGGATGTAACGTCTCCGACAACGTCTGAGGTGGTTGTTAAAGCGATGATGACGATGACGTGGTGTATTTCTATTGGGAGAAGGTTCTTTGGGAAGTTGCAATTCCGGCACATTAGTTGTTGTTGAGCCGCGGTGACAACGGGAATCTTTTGTTTACGAAATTGCCCCTCATATTAGATTGGGAAAACGTGTACTACTATTTCTATTTCTTGTTAAAGAACTACTTTTTTTTTTTTGTTAAAGAAAGAATTGCTTTTCAAAAATAAAATATTTCCTTCATATTTGATTATATTCAATCGGAATTTTCGATTTTAACTACACGAATTATTAGCTAAGATATTGCAAACCATCCCAACTATAGAAATATGTTCTAAACTACACATAATATTATATAACACATTGTGACATACACCAAATATATGTAAATATGTTAAAAACTACAAATACAAATTGGTGTCTTTTAATAAATATTTATGTCAATTTGTAATTATTTCCAATAAAAAAAATTGAAAAAATAAAACTTACAAAATTTAACGAATTAAAAAAAAATCCATAAAATTTCAAGATATAAGAAAAAAATAGTAATTAAATTTGTAAAATCCCAAAGTTTCTAAAATTACAAAATTCAAAAACAAAAAAAAATAATTCCAAAAAAAATAAATTTACGAAAATACA